CCGGCGGAGCCGGCGGAGCCGGCGGAGCCAACGGAGCCGGCGGAGCCGGCGGAACGATCCGGACGAGACCGAAACCATGTGTACCGCCAGCGCTAACGCTGGTGGTACAAATAAGTATTATCCTGGACAGCATGGTATTAAAGCGTGATATTAAAGCCTGTTTTATTTATTTTTTTGTTGGTTTTGAATTCTATAGCCAATCAAGGTGACAGCCTAGCTTGTGAAAGGGAGGACGTCGCACAATCCAATTACAAATATTAGTCCTGAACTTTCTGAATGTGCATTTCAGGCATAACAGCTACAGATGTGCTCTTTTTAAAATTAAACAACAACAAAACTTATAGCAAACTGAATGTATCATGTAAGTTTTTTCCCCTTTTTGCTATTCAAGTATTAAAAAAAAAACATAACAGAAGACATAAAATAAATAATATCATTTTGGAAAGAAAATGAGAAAATAAGTGAATTAATTTATAAAAGAATGAATCAATAAATTAACAATAGGTAAATGGGTTAAGTTAATCAGAATAAAAGAAAAAAGACAACAAAAAGCTGACAGACAACACTTCTAAACATGCCAAAAATTTTTTAAAGAAATAACTAAAGATACTGATAAGATTTCTCTTGTTTGTAACGAAGCAAATTCCAACACCATGAGAAAATACATATTAGCCACACTCAATAATAAATACCTTTCCTAATTTAATTAACTTTTCAAACATCAATTTTTTTCTCTGCACCTAAGACAAGCTATGTACTAAGTGCCTTGAAATTGTTAAAATTTCTAATAAAAACTGAATTTTTTTTAGAAAAGCAAAATTGCTTAGTGCAGATTATTTTCTCACTAAATAAAATGTAAAAAACCTAGAATTCCATTTGGGAAAGTGAAACAAAACAAACAAACAAAAGTTAAAGATATCCATGTAAGTATTGAATGAACTGCTCATAATAAGGGCAGTAGAAAAATTGTAACCTCATTAATGTAACTTAAAACTTTAGTAAATTATTTCCCAACTAGATTTAATATAACAATGTTAAACTGTGTAAACTCAGTAACTGCATGTACTTTTTAGAAAGCATACTGTCAGTAATTTCATAGCTCTTATCCATACTTAACAAAGTTTTACTTTGTCATTCAAGTCATCTGTGAGTTTCAGAGATCACACCATATTTCACACTCTGAGAGTTTGGTCACTGGAGAAGACTTCAGCATGCTGATAACTAGAGCTAGTTTCCAGAAAACTCTGAAACTCAGGGTGTTTAAGGCTCTATTCCCATAGATTTTAGATCGATCTATCCCCGCGGGGAGTCTCACTAGATTACTTTCAGATAATCCGACTTAAATGTCCGTCCTGCCTACTGCAAGCTGTAAGGGGTAATTAACTTTCGTGTCCGCCCGGCTGACAGCTATTTAGTGTGAACCCCCAGGGAGTTGGGTCGATCTAAAGTAGGTCGATTTTATCTATGGAAATGGGGTGTAAGTGGTAAGCACACAGTAACTTAAAGCCAAGTAATAAGCACTGACACCAAACCCTACAAATAGAAAAGCACCACCAGGCAGAAGATGACTAGTGTCACTGACTAAAATGCAAGAAGCATTTCAGGGATAACATAAAACCAAAAGCTGTTCTACCAGTTGTAGAATAATAACCAAAGTCCAGCAGTTACTTTATTTTACTTTTAAAAAGGTTAAATTTTGGTCTTAAGTTATTTTGTGTTACTGAAAATTGATTCTGAGACGTTTTTATGACATCACCACAGAGTGTTGTCAACAGCCAAGCAGCAGACCACCTTTTCTATGCAGGCAACATTGCAATAACTACGACAGGAATAAAGATAATTTTTACTAGAAGAAATCAGTTCTCGAAAAGACAACAAATTACTGTGACAAGTTCCATGACTTAACTAAGAGAGAGTTCTATCACAGTCAATGCAAGAGCACCTAAAGTACCCTGAGTTCAGAGACCACTGGCAACTAACCTTCATCATCTTAATGCCCTATTTCTAGTAGCCATACTCAGCATTTAGCACCCAGAGAATCTGGTTACTGGAAAATGCTTTTAAATATTCATACATGGTGCTAATTGAGGTTGGTTTCCAGTTAGTTTCTCACTGCTGAAACTCAGGGTGACACAGAGAGACAAACATTATAGCAACTTCAGAAGAAATCATTGGAAACTGCCTCCACTGTCAGCATGGCTCTGTGGTTTCCAGAGTCTGGCACCCTGGGTTTGGTTTCCAGATACTGCAGAGACATATATAATACTGATAACAGAGGCTAATTTCCAATAAATGATCTCTGAAACACAGGGCATCCCACAAAGAATACAGCAACATCAAGAGAAGGGAGTAAAGCAGACAGCCACCGCAAAACTGGAGAAAGGTCCACATTGTATGCTATATACCTTTCCCCTCATTCAAGGACTTTGACCTTTGTCTCTTGATGCGGAAAGACCCTCCTCCTACAAAGTCAAAGTGCAGTGATATTGTCTTGTGTGCAAACATGATAAAAAAAGTAAATTATTTCTAAAGAGAGTAAATGCATTTTCTACCCATGGGCATGGCATTTTGACTTGGATCACATGACTTGTCTCCAATTAAAGAAAGCCTGTCTGTCATGATTTATGTGAAAGGGTCAAATTGTCATATCTCACGTAGAAAACCCATTTAGTCTGTCTAGAAATAACTTACTTTTTTATCACAATCAATGTGGCTTTTTGTCATCCAGTCTAACACCAGATAAAATACAAATTTCCACAACAACATTTGACATGCTTTTTAACACCACTGCAAAGAGCCAGCTTTTAGCATGTTTCCAATCAGGTAGGGTTGATGAAAAGGCCAGCGATTTACCTTGGGGCAAAGTAGACTTAAATTCTCGTCTAAAAGTGTAGACCACTTGATTTTTTTTTTTTTTTTTTTTTTTTTTGTGAAACAGAAATTTTATATAAGTTTAGGACATTCGTCATATGTATATGTAAAAGGTTCATTACACAGCTATGCCAAGGGTTAATTTGCAATGGCCCTTAGAACATAGAGTTAGTTCAACCCAACTTAAGAAGAAACACGACTTGACAATTAAGCACCACCAACAATAATACGTATGCTCACTTAAAACTGTGCAGATAAAAATGAATAGTTAGTTGAGATGCCATGAGGAAACACATTTGCTCTTTTAACACTGCAATACTTCTGAAAATGATTCCTCAATTACAAATCTTGTATCTTAAATATTAAAAGAATGAAAACTAGGACAAAAAATATTTGCATATTTAGGCATACTCTCCAATTTTTCATTAAGCATTTATCTAGGCTTAAGATTATACTACCATGAAAGTACAGCTGACACTAAAATTTCATTACAACCCAACCCAACCTTGTCCAGCAAGATTGCTATGTCTCAGAAAGCATATTCATTTTCCCAAAATAATATAATCAGAAAATAATTGATATAAATCATATTTAAAAAAAATTAACTTATATATCAAAATTTCATGTTTGCAGATGGATTAGGGATAGAAAGATA